AGTAATATTATTACAATTTAAAAAAACCAGTAACTATAATTTGTAAGATAACGTAAGAAAATCGAAAAAAAACATGTTTACCCACGTAAATACATATTATATTATAATACATAAAAAATGATATATTGTAGATTAATTTAAAAAAAATTTATCGTAGTAGAAACTAGAAATATTGTAATTTTTATACACAAAATTACGGAAAAAAAATGCAAAAAAAGTCGGCATTCGGGCGGCCGCATTAACCATATGGGAATGACGGTTTCGACGCCCTGATAGCGTACGACGGATTCGAACCCGGGACCTACGTGTTTCCTACCTAACGCCTAACCTACTCGAACACAATTTGAGATGTGTAATACGGTCAAAACATCAACATTTAAGCCGTGCGTTTACGGAACGACGTAAGCCGATATATTCGATGTACATCGATGTAATCGCATATAATTCGCTTGTAATACGCGCATCTCCCATATATATATTTAACGGAGCGAGTGAAAAGCGTTTCCGTTAATAATTATTAAATCAATAGGCAAAAATTAAATTATACACATATATACATGTATATTGTATATATACGCGTACGGTCGGTCGTAATTTCTAAACGCGATTGCGAAGCGAACCTACCGATTTCGTAAGAAAAGCGTATATATACGGCTTTAGAAAGACGTCAACTACACGATTCGGGCACGAACGGCGTGCAAAAAGACGAAACTGTCGGAGAAAACGAAAAAAATCGGCAAAAAAGTCCGGCCGGGAGCGTATTTTGCGATCGACATTGCGACGGCTACGGACGGCGCACGGATATAAACCGCCCACCGGCGGCTTCGAGAGATCGCGAGCCACGCGAATCGAGTATAAAAAAGGGCGAAAAACGATAGAAAACGGTCGAAATCGTGTGAAAAGAGTAAATTTTCGAAAATTTCAAAAATCGGCGGAATGATAAGAAAAGAAGTGATAACGCGGGGCCGGGCGACGGAATTTTCTGATTGTCTGAATTTCCTTATTTGCTGTGTTCGAACGCGGAACGGGTTTGCCGCCAAAACAAAGGCAAAAGCACGGACACTCCAAGTCGCGTTAGACGTCGAAGCTCCGAGCGACGCTTTCCCCCTCCGTAGTCCCTCGCCGCCGTCGCCATCGGCCGTCGTGAACATTTTAAAAACTGTCTTTTTCCAACGGCTGAACGAAGCGCAACGTCCGCGCTGTCGTTCCCGTGTGTGTCGCGAAAACCTCGTGTGAGCCCGTGCTGTGATCAGCGGCCACGATCGGTACCTAGTACCTACTTCCGAAGTACGTTTTTCTCGCGTTTTAATAGTCGTCGCGGTACGCACTTGTTGCTACATCGAGTGACATAGTAAAAGTCGCGTGTGAACACGCGTGTTTTGTCCGTCGTGATCGACGTGTGACGCTAAGCTCACATCGAGTCCGTTTTTCGTGTATTTACGCCGTGCGCGTGTTTTACTCTACCCTCCGCGTGCTCGCGAGTGTTTTGCCACGGAAAGACGTAAATATATTATTCGAGTTCGTGTTCGCGCTAGTCGCGTGGAACCACGAGCTATCATCGTCGAGCGACGAGCTGAAGATTTGTCCGCCGTCGACGTTCCGGCGAGGTACCTACTTTGGTCAGCAGTCAGCACCAAGGATCGACGCAGTCGCCGAGCCACGCAGTAGCCGTCGTCAGGTTTATTCATTGTTTTTTAGTCCCACGTGTCAGTGGGCTCTTTATAATTATTGTTCACCAGCTATGGTACTTAGTTGTTATGTTAATTTATAGGTACTATATTATTTTGGGCGCCCGTTATTTATCTGTCATATTTTGTTACACACATTAAACGTGTTTCCGACCTCACATTTGAGTTGTACGCATATATTGAGTAACCCGTTCCCGTTCCAGCCTTCAACACTTTACGCAAGTCGTTGCCGACAACCGCACAGTTCGTAGGATCGGTAACGGCGCAACATGCTGCGTCGCGCCTGTCGGACAAAACTGTTGACTAACCTCGTTTTATAATATAAGAGATATTTGTTAATCAAAATATTAAATTATCACTACTAAACATAATATGTTATTATGTAATTTGTTCGGTTATACACTTCTAGATGTCGTTTTATCATTTTAAATTCGAATTCCTCATCTTACCCGGTGCGTCAACTTACCCCACTCTCCCCTAATGATGTGTTTTCTAAAAGTTCATGTTTTTATAATAATTTATATCATGGTGGTCAAAAGGAAACAATACGTCCAATTAAAAAAATTGAATTTAACTTAATAATTTTTTTTTAAATTTTACCTAGCTTTAATTCCGCCAATTTTTGGTTTAGAATACAAGTTGATAGATCAAAATTACCTCGATCAAAAATGATGTTCAAAATAGGGGTAGCCATTAAAAAAATTAAGTTGTATTAAAAAAACTGTAAATCTAAAGGCGCGTCCACACGAGAGCACGCACAAGCTGAGCATGTGTGCTCACGCCGTGCGTCGCACAAATTCACATCGTTTGGACGAAATTCCGAGCACGCACGAATGCTCGCGATGCACAGCGAACGCGATTGAACGGTAAATTGTGATTGCCCAAAGACATAATTGCCCGACTCACTGCTCCGTTTGGACGCGTGCGTAGAAAAAGTTCACTAGCTTATGCGTGCTACTGTGCAAGCTACTTAACGCCGTGTCCAAAGTAAATCCGTTGCGTCCGATGCGGCCGAAATGAAAAGCAAACTTACTAACATGATACGACCTGTCCAATCTGGATGGGGTTTGCGTCCGATCCGTCCGACATCGCATCGGTCGTATCCGCCGCACGATTTGAAAAACAAATCATTTTGTTTTTTGACGCATCGGACGCAAAAACAGACAAACGTATTCGTCTATTTAATATTAATTTAATACAATATATTTAATAATAATATACGTAAAAATTAAAATTAAATAATTTAAAATGGAGTTATTGATTTTGGAAGTCCAAAAACGACCAGTGTTGTGGAACAAATTTCATAAAAAATATAGAGATAGGATCCACAGTGAAAAGGAATGGAACGCAGTTGCAATTAAAACTAAAATGAATAGTAAGTATATTATTTTTTTAATGTAATTTTATAATATTTCGTTTTATAATATTATTATAATTAAATAATTAATACGACATACCTATTGTAAAAAATAATTCACAAATTAAAATATTTTTAAAATTATTAATTATTAAATTTATATGTGATCTATTATTTATTTATTTATTTTTTTTTATTGTGATTTATGCTTACCTCTATGATGTACAACATAATAATACATTTTAACATCAGTCCTTGTAAAACTTAAATTTTATTTTCTTGAAAATAATGTACAAAATTATTTCTAATCTGAATAGCCGAACGAGATGCACGATTATTAGATCTGTGTCTTGGATTTATTCCCATCAATTGATTATTATTTGAATTTGTATTGGCTTCACGAAAGGTATTCTTGATTTCTTGACTCATCTTTTTCAATATCAATTATTACATTATGCAAATATACAAATCGCTTTTACCACGTGGTCGGCATTTTCAACTTTAGTTTCTATTGCTTTCAATAAAATTCGAAATTTTGAGGATGCGATACCGAATGCACATTCAACAGTCATTCTAGCTCTGGATAATCGGTAGTTATAATATGACTTGTTTGTTTCTTGTGCTTGGTTTCTTGGAAATGGTCTCATTAGATAATTTCTAAGAGGAAACTCTTCATCACCAACAAAAACATAGGGGGCTGAGATACCCGAATTGCCCAATTTCCTTTCTATTGGTAATTTGAGAGTACCAGATTCTAGACGTTGGTGAAAATTTGTATTGCACAAAATACCACCATCACTATCCTTACCATAACCTCCAACGTTTATCATTATAAATCTATATTTGGCGTCTACAACTGCCATTAAAACAATAGAGAAATATTGTTTGTAATTGTAAAACATACTTCCTGAGTTTTTAGGACACCTCAATCTTATGTGTTTCCCGTCAATGCTACCCACACAATTAGGAAAGTTCCATTTTTCGTAGAACTCGTCAGCTATATTTTTAAAGTTGTCAACGGTAGGAGTAGGCATGTGTTTATTCTTTAATGTACACCAAATAGCTTTGCACACCTCAATGACTATTTTTGCTACTCCTGATTTAGATATTCTGAACGTTAGTGCTAGCTGCCTAAAAGCTAATCCTGTTGCTAAGTACCTGTTAAGAATAATACAATAATTAGTAATTGTAATGCAAAATGTGTCGTTTTCACTTTTCAAGGTCGGACTAGCCCACCGAGAGATCGGGAAAATTCACTCGATTTCTCATGTATCAATTCCTAAACTTGCTAGAATTTTTAAATTATTTTGACTCGTTTTAAGCTGTTTACGGAAAATTTCAAATTTCTATTTTTCTAAATATTAATAAAATTTTATTTGTTGGGCCAAAAAGCGTGAAAATTTAATACAAGGCTCTTGATATACTGTTGCAATAGTAGTTGAAAAATATTAAAAATACATTAGCACATTTTTTTTTATAAACATTTAAAGTTTGAATTTTGACGAAATTTATCAAGTTGAAAATTTACAAATTATTTAGTAGATTAAGATTTGTATTTTTTTACAGTTGAAGAAGCAAAAAAAAAATGGAGGAGTTTGAGAGATACTTTTTTAAAGGAAAAAAAAAAGTAACTAAAAGTCGTTCAGGAAATTCTCAGGAGGGTGCTGAAGTATACACGGGAAAGTGGAATTATTTCAATTTAATGATCTTTCTAAACGATACGACAACACCACGGAAAACGGACAATAATATTTCTGATGATGAAAGTGAAAAAGAATATACAGAGGAAAATTTAGAGGCATTAGAAAACAATAAAAATGATTATTTTAATGATAGTCAAGAATACACTTCAAGTCCTATTGACGTCATTGGTATTGAAAATTTGTCATCTGTATCTCAATCTGGAAATTCTAATTGTACTAATCAAATTTCAGAAAGTATAAGTAATTCTGAAAATGTTCGTTCTATTAAAAGAAAAAAAAAATGATAGTAAAGCTTTTGAAGATGAATTACTAAAGATTGAAACCGAAAAGTTAAATGCTTTACTGCAGTCCAATACGACTACTCATATTGACGATGATGATATGTTATTTTTAAAATCTCTCCATCCATACTTTAAAACCATGCTTCCTATACAAAAGCTAAGTTTAAGGAATCAGATTCAAAGTGTAATAATAAATGAATTATCACTAACACAAGGACAACTAACATACGATACTCCAACATACAATATGCCAACATTTGCTCAAAGAGAAACACCACAAAATTCAACACCTCGTGCATTTGATTTGAACAACATTCTTAATTCAAATAATTATATTTAATTCAACATAATAAAATAATAAATAATGTTACTTTAAAAATTAATTTTAGGTTTGATCTATTTAAGTAATTTTCTTTTTCATTTATTATTTTGTTACAAAAAGGTTTATAATTTAATTTAAATTTTAATATATTATAGGTAGGTAATTATAGTCATAAGTCACAACAGGAGTAGTTACATATTGTACCGAATATAATTTATATTCTGTTTTATTTTTACAATAAATATTTTACAAGTTTGTTATTATTATAAAATTATAATATTATGTATTTGTGTTTTTACTTACCGCAGTGTCACAAGTAGTCTTTCTTCCACACTAATTGGATCTCGGAAATTGGTCGATTTGAGATTAAACTCAGGTTTTATACTTTCAACAATATAATCAAAAGTTGTTGTAGACATTCTCGTGTATGCGTAAAACAAATTTTCATTGTCACGTAATTCTCTATACAAATGATGAAATTCACCAAACATTTTGCGATTTTTCAAAATAGAATTTATATTTTTTTTTTTTTTATGTATTTTTTGTATAAATAATATTTTACACCTATACTCTCTGCGAGCATAATATTTTTTTGCATATTATGTGTAGACATTATGAAAAAAACACAAGTGCACTCCTACGCGTTCAACCACGTTCTAGTACATCGAGAATACTCTTGATATCGTTAATAATTAAATATAATATAGATATAATTCATCGGACGCATCGGACGCAAATTCGCGTTGGACATGCGTTTGCCGCAATAATGTGCGTTAAGTGCGATGTAAAAACGGACTCGCCGGACGCATTTCGGATTTACTTTGGACACGGCGTAACTCTTTAGTTTTTTAATTACATTTTTAAACAAAATAATTGAAATGGAGTGGTGCAACGTAGACTGCATTCAGTTGATCCAAGAGTATCAACAAGAAGAAGTATTGTGGAATCCAAAACATGCATTCTATTTCTCTAAAACGAAAAAATAAGATGAGTGGGAATAAATAGGTAAAAAGCTCAACAAAAATCCCGAAGAAGTTAAAAAAAAAGCATTAAGTCTATTAGGATCTTATCGCCGAGAAAAGGCCAAAGGGAAGAAGACCATGGGGACTGGTACAGGTACGTTAAATCATATTATATTAATATTGTATGGTAATAATTCCATTGATTATAAACACTACATTAGTATATAAGTAAAGTATATTAGTATGATAATTAATGATATTATAAATTAAAATATACTTAATATATAATGGGCGTCAAAAGGAGAGATAAATAAGTAGTTTATTTTACCTTTTAACAAGGACTTTTAAAATTATAACTTTTATGATATTTATGATATGTCCAGGTCCAGTGTACACTGTAACCAACTGGAAATTTTATTAATTGTTATTTAAATTAGCCATAAACTATCAGTATCACAAATAAGAATCAATATTTAGGGCCGTGCCACACTATGCGTTTTATCGGGACCGGTCGATTCCTGCCGCTGACCGACCGCAACATGTCGCGGTTTGGCAGGAACCAACTCGATGGGAAGTTTAAACAAAACACGTTATATTGTATATTTATAGATTTGTTTTATTGGTTTATTTCTTTACTGTATATAAATAAATTCTTAACAGCCCTAAGTTATGAAAAACCCTAAAATTAAATTTTTAAAATAACAAATTAATAAAGGAATATAAATAATTTAATTGTCCTGTACTAATAGCTAATAATACAAAAAAAAAATAACAGAAATGACTAATGACTGACAAGTGGTTAACTATTCTATATTTTATATTATTGAAAACAATACAAACTATTTGTTACATAATATTAGTATTATATTAGATTAATATTATAATATAAAGAAAATATAAGGTTATTTATTATAAATTATTATTTAAAATAACGTAAGAACTGGATCATCGTATAAACATTGTACTTACCTATATACGTGTAGAATTATTTACAATTTTAAATAGAATTTACAATTGACAAAGTGGTAAAATATAAATTAATTGATTATTATTTAGGACGAAAAGACGTTTATGTTTCCAAGTGGTTTGCCTTTGAGGCTTTTCAGTTTTTGCTAGATCGAGATGATCCTCGACCAACTCTCAGTACAGATAACGTGAGTACTTATAATTAATAAGTTGTAATAATTTATATTTGTATACCTAAAGATAGGTACGTAAATTAATAGTTAAACTAAATTATGAAATATTGAAATACAAATAATACAATATACAAACATAATGGTTATGCATAGGTAGTTATTTTGCCAAGGCAGTGCTCCGTTTTCCCTAAAATATGTTGCAAACTCGTTTCTTATTTCATATGCAGTAGTTTTTGATTTACGGGGAATATTTCGAAGTGGTTGTAATGGTTGATCATTTTGTCTCCAATGTCCTTCGTCCTCTCTATCAAAACAACCGGGAGGAGTATAAGTGTTTCGAGAGAAACTACTTTTCCTTAAAAAATTATGCAAATAAACAATAGTCATCACAACAATTTCTGCTTTTTCTGGCTCTAACAATAACGGTTTACGTAAAACACGAAAAATTGAGGAACAAATTCCAAAGACATTTTCAAATACTCTCCTACATCTGCTTAAACGGTAGTTAAAAACACGCTCTTTTGAATTCGTAGGGTGGGTGCCAGAAAAAGGTTTCATTATTATTTCGGTTAGTGGGAATGCTTCGTCAGCTACAAAAACAAATGGTATATGTATACTTCTTTGAGGTAGTGGCAGTGCTTGTGGTACATTTAAACTATTAGTTTCTATTTTTTTGTTAAGATCACAATTTTTGAAAACACCCCCATCGGAAATTCTACCTTGGCAACCTACATTTGCATAAATAAAATTATAATTCGCGTCGACCAGTGCGAACAGAACGATACTAAAGAATGATTTGTAATTATAATAATCACTACCACTTTTAATCGGGCTTTGCAAAGTTGATGCGGACTTGAGTAGTGCCGCGTGGAGTAATGTGGTGGTGGTGACCAACGCAGAACCTGTCGGTTTAAAATCAAAATAACGGAACAAAAGAGAGAAAAGAAACAACAAAACGGCGCACTGGTGTGATTTGTAACTTTATTGTAAAACCAAAACAAACGAACATACAATATGGTATTGCGTTTACGACGGTTTCGATTACCCGGGGACGTGTCGACTACAGAGGTCTGTACGGGTCGGTGTCGAGATGACGAGAGGGAGAGTCTTGACAATCCGGTTCACCGGACGGCCGGCCGACGGTTCCAGGCGCGGGTGTCGCGCGCCGGCGTCGTCCGTCGTCGATTGGCGGTTTGATTGAGAAGCCACGGCGCGGCTTCCGCGCAAAGGCTGTTTGAATTCAAACAGATTTTACGCGGGACCGCGTCAAAGTTATGTGTTTCCCGTCCATTGACCCTAAACAATGAGGGAAATTCCATTGCTTATCAAATTGATCCGCTACATCAGTCCATTCTTTGGGAGAGGAAGGCATCTAAATAAAAAAATAAATATATTGAAATACTTTATATTTTTTGAAAAATATTGATAAAAATGATAAATTATTTAAAATATGCATCTAAAAATATAAAATAGAAGAAATATGTATTAATATGCAAAATAAAATTTCAAGATTAGGTTTTATTGACGGCCAACCACATTAATTCGAATTTCCCAGATACAAATATATCTATAAATGATCAGCTATCAAAGGGAAATAAAAGATTATTCTGGTTATCGAAATTATTATCAAAGACGTATGATTTCAAATATACCTGGACTAACTCAAGCGGAGTCTTCATGAAAAAAAATGATAGTTCACATAGTTTTCGAGTCATATTTGTCAATCAACTTATCAAGATTGATGTTGATAAAATAGTTATTCAGCTCTATGATGGCGTAATAGAACATTAACTTTAGATGTTAAAATTACTGTATATATTTTTTTTTCCTTAGTTTAAATGATTCATACTTTACTAAATATATGTAATGAAATTAAAGCTATAAATAGTTTTGAAACAAAAAATATTAATTCTATAAGTGAGATCAAATTTTATGATAAAGGGTTTTCTATTTTTGCAATGAATATAAGAAGTATTAAATGTAATTTAGATGAACTAGCTATTTTATTGAGTACTATTAATGATAAATTCGATATTATTGTACTTAGTGAAACTTGGTTAACCAATGATTATAACATAAGCTTACTTGGATACAAACATTATCACTGTCTGGGCACTTTAAATAAATCAGATGGTATCTCTATTTTTGTAAAAGATTGTTTTTATGTATCGAGTATAAACTATAATGTAATTGATTTTTGTAACTCATTAGATATAATTATCTTATTTAATAACATTAACTACCGGGTTACTGGAATATACAGATCACCAAGTTACAATGTTGATTTATTTTTAGATTCTCTCGACAATTTTCTTACTATAAATAACAAAAATAAGTTTCATTATATATGTGGTGATATTAATATTAATTTATTGTCTGATAATTCTAATTCAACAAATTATCTCAACATTATGAGTAAACATGTTTTATTCTCTAGTATAAATGGTATAACTAGAAGCCAAAATGATTCCAATAGTAATATTGATCATATATTTTCAAAAAATTTAGATACTAACCTTATCTCTAGTTATATTATACGTATTAGTATTACTGATCATTATGGTACTTCTTTGCTAACAGATGTCGATTCTCTGATAAACAAAAAAAAATCTGAATATGTTTCTTTTAATCAAACTACAATTAAAAAGATTAATTATAACAGATTAAATTCAATTTTAAATAACGAAGATTGGAATAAACATTTCTTTTGTCTGTCTATTAACTAAGTTCTATGAAAAAATAAGTACTGCTATAAATAGTTGTACAAATGAAGTTAAAATAAAAAATTGTCGTAAATTTATGAAACTAAAAAAATGGATAACAAGGGGTATCTTAGTTTCAATTAATAAAATAGAAAAAATGTACAAACAAAAACGAAAAAGGCCTTTTGATCTAAATTTTGCTATTAAATTCTCAAAATACAAAAATCTACTTCAAATTGTTATTAAAAATGCACGTATACTACACTATCAAAATGAAATCTTACAAGCAAATTCAAATACTAAATCTACATGGCGTATTATAAATGAAATTATTGATAATAAAAATAAACCTAAAATTCCGATTGCCTCGCTTTATAATAATGATGATAAAATAGTTGAAGACAAATTTGAAATTTGTAATATTCTAAATGATTATTTTACCAATGTTGGTGAAAATATATCTAAAAATATTAAAAACAAAAGTTATCATAAATTAGATTGGAAATATTTAAACAAAAATTGTCACGTAAATGAATCTTTATTTCTAAATCCGATTTCAACAAATGAAATTGAGAACTTCTTAAACTTACTAAAAGATGAGTGTTCATATTACGAATATGGAATGACAAATTATTTTTTAAAAAGATCGTCTAAACAAATATTACCTCTTTCGTTATTATTTAATAAAGCTATTAAATATGGAGTTTTTCCTGATTGTTTTAAAAAATGTTTTATTATTCCTTTATTCAAAACAGGTGATAAGAAAATCTGTGACAACTATAGACCTATTTCACTTTCACTATCTATTAGTAAAATATTTGAGAAATGTTTGAAAAAAACGTTTATACGACTTTTTAATAAAAAATAAGTTTTTTTCAGAAAACCAATATGGTTTTCAATCTGGTAAATCAACAATTGACGCTTTAGTACAAGCAGATAAATACATTAGGGAAAATTTAGATAATAATAATCAAGTAATGGGCATTTTTCTTGATCTGAAAAAAGCATTTGATTCGGTAAACCATAATATTTTAATCAGTAAACTTGAATATGCTGGTGTTCGCGGTAAAGCACTTAATCTATTCTCATCTTTTTTGGTAGGAAGATATCAAGCTGTTAGAGTGGATAATGATGTAAGTAACTTTTTACCAATTAACTATGGTATCCGGTATCCCACAAGGTACAGTGTTAGGACCTCTATTTTTTATAATTTATACAAATGGTTTATTTGGTTTAAATTTAAATGCTAAAATAATCAGTTTTGCTGATGATACCTTAATTTTGGTTAGCGGTACCTCAAATAATGTAGTTAATATACTGGCTTCGCACACCTTGGAAACAATTAATACCTGGTTTGAAAATAATTTACTTGAACTAAATATTAAAAAATCTAAGTATTTGAAATTGTATTTTGAAATTTATAATAACAAACATTTAATATACAATCCATTAGTTATTCACTACTCAAATTGTAATATGTCATTAGATTCATGTAAATGTGATAAACTTGAGCATGTTGACTCAATTTACCTTGGGGTGATTTTTGATAGAAACTTGAGGTGGACATATAAATCATGTACCTAGTTAGTATGATACGAAAGCTGTTTTATAAATTCAAATTGTTAAAAGATATCCTCAACACCAACTCCTTGCGTACAGTCTATTTAGCACTAGTACAATCCATTATTAATTATGGTATAGTTGTTTGGGGAAACGCATCTAAGTTTGCTTTAAATCCACTTATTATTACATTAAACTCACTGTTGAGATTTATACTATTAAAACCGTATGATTTTCATGTAGATGACCTTTACAGGACATTCAATGTAAAAAACTTGAATGGCTTGTATACATGGAATATACTTTACTATATTTTTAACATAGATCTAAAAGATTATTACCAGACACATACCTATCAAACACGCATGAAACAAACAGTGAATCTGAATATCCCAGTAACCAATAAAAAATTTGGTAGAAAAATGGTTTTTAATGTCGGTATTCGTTTATGTATTAAACTTAACATTAATTTAAAATCATATAAAAATAAGTATCATTATAAAAATGTTTTAAAACATCTAAATCTTAACTATGTTACATTATAAAAAAATAATAAAAAAAAAAAAATTTAAAAATATAAATATTTTAAGTTGTATTCTATCATTACATTAATATAATATGAAATTTTTATTCTAGACCAATGTAATTTCGTAAATAATAATAAAAATTATATGTTTATATAAATAATTTATGTAATATTATGTGTTGTATTGAACTTGCTGCACCCACCACAAGCTATGCGTCATTAATTGTTTATTTAGTTTTTGTTAACTATTTGTAAAATATTATATATATATTGACAATATTGACAATAAAGATTATTATTATTATTATTATATAACATATTTTATTTTAGGAAGATGTTTTAAACGAGTCGGGAGATGTGCATGACGGTGACGACTTACCAGAATGTGAGTTAACTCAACAAGAACAAGAAATTAACCTTGAATCGTTCTCTATTCCTGAACAACCAACAAGAAAAATAAAAAGACTCAAGTATCGGATAAATGCATAGAGGATGCTATTGAGATTTTAAAACGACCTTATCCAACTCTCTAGTCTCTACACCTGATGATTGGTCAGTTTATGGACAGCATCTTGCGAATAAACTTCGCAAATATACCCCCCACGCTTGTTCCATTGTCCAACATTATTTTAATAATATATTATTGAAGCCGACATGGGAAAATTTGATCTACCTAATAGCCATGTACTTCAACAACCTCAATATCCAAATTTCAACGCCAATTCAACACCATCTGCAACATTTTCTCAAAGCTCTCCATTGTCATCCATGGCCTCTCCTTATCACTATACGCCCGTCACTTCATTGTCTCCAAATGAACCACTTCACGAGTTTCTTTCACCAGTACCTCAAACGGCTCAAACTCATGACTCAGGACTGTACAAGTGTACAACCATACTGAAACTCAGCCAAACTCATTTCCCTAACATTATTTGATAATTTTTTTATTTTATTTTATTTTAAAAGTATTATGAAAAGGATTTTCATAAATTTTGTTAAATTTTTTGTTAAACGCAATATCATAAAGGTTTAATATGTTTTTTATTTTAGTTATTTGTTTCTCTATTTGACAAAAGAATGTCATTTTAATTTTTATGCAATAAAATACTTTTTTGCTGTACTTATTGTCTGTTTTTATATAGAATTTTCTCATTATTTTAGTTTTTATATTACCTTAATATATGGCTTCAGAACTTCAACAATAGCTTGACAAAGTTCCGGTACTATGAGTGATATAAGTTGTTTTGATATCAAAAACGTATACTGGAGACTAGTGTAAGAGTCTCCTGTAGCAAGGAATCTCAATGTAACTGCTAACCTTTTGTCAACTGGAACTGCGTTTCTCATGTTAGTGTCATTTTTCATAATTTTTGGTCCAATTTTGCACAGCAAAAATTCAAAGTCTTCTGATTCCATACGAATAAAGTTTTTAAACTGTCCAGTAGTTTTGTCAAATATTAAATGATCCAATAAATTTGTCCCAGTTTCTCGTTGTCTAAACAAGTGAGTGGTCCACCATCTTCTATTTCGTCGACTTGTCTTTTTTTTGTTTTTTAAAACAGAATGTAACACTATTAACGCGGCACTTTTAAATTTAAGCTCATGTTCCAGCAAAACTAAATTATTTTCATGAAGAGACATGATTAATTATTATTTTAATAATATATAATCAAATACAGTAATTAAAATGTATTTTATTAGTAACTAAATTGTACTACAACTGCTGTACTTTGTTGTAAACGTCATTCATTCATGCTCGCTGAACAATAACTAAAATTCCGGAACGCGTATTTGACGCACAGATATCAAGTTGTGCGACGCAGCGTCCAAACAGAGCATACACAAGCATTCGTGTTCGCACAACAGCGAGCACACATGCTCAGCTTGTGCGTGCTCTCGTGTGGACGCGCCTTTATAGATTGTATCAAATAATAATTGTGTACACACTTTAGTTATTTACCTTAGTGATGGGAAAAAATAACAGGAACAGTGATTTATAACAGTTATTACTCTAGTAACAATAACAAGCTGTTACTTGAGGAAAAAAATAACTGTTACGATTATTTTGATTATTTGAGTTTTTAAATTTGGTCTTACTGACTCCGTGTTATATACTGTTAATACTCTTACTGCTGTTACTGGCTGTTACTGCGGTACCGCTGTTATTGTCTTGTGGTACAAGTGCATTGCCCTATCGTCGTGGTTGATGCTGCGTCGGTTGGGGCAAAAGCACTGTCCTAACATGCGCTTCGTTTTGCTGCTGACTCCGTTGCAGGAAGGATTAGGTACACAAGTTTAGTTATTTAAATGAAAGAACACACAATGTCGTTGATTGACGCGGTTGCGTTGAAAGTCGTATATTGAAACTTGAACATAAATGTGCGTACGCAGTACGCATAATTATTCGGTGGCCGAGCGGTCGTTGGTCGCGTGGGTCGACGGAATCGGTGTGCTCGATGCACGAGCGATCGAGGGAGCGTGGCGCTACGTCGAGAGACGAGAACGTCGTCGTGACATTAGTTCGGTCGGTCGGGCGAGTCGAGGTGCACGATGATCGTCGAGATCGTATCGCTACTCGAGTCGATTGCCGTTGCGAGAGAAACATGGCGTCGGGCGTATGTCGCGAGTCGGACGAAAACGTGTGGCTCGGTCGAGGGCTGTGAGCAAAGAGAGCGCTGGCCGGTCGGTCAGCCGCGTCGTACCCGTCGCGGGACGAGTCGCTTGGCGTCGCCAATTGGAGACGCGAGATCGAGTTGAGCGAGGAACATAAATATAATTACAAAGACAATAAATACTAAAAATCACAGTTGTTGTATAAATACGAATATAATATAAAAGTTCCGCGAAACGGATGGTAACGGCGAATGAGTTGAGCAAAGTGGTTGTTGCCACTTGGGCTTGTTACGATGAGAATAAATGATTATGGAACCTAGGTTGTGATGATGTTATCTCGACATGAACAACTTAATGTGCACTGCCTTGGATTTAACTGGATAGGCAACTTAATGCGCACTGCCTTAAAATGACCGGGTAGGCAACCAGATACGACGACGACGAAGATAGGAGGGGACCAAAAGAGACCTAAAATTACCGGACCAAGGAAGTTAAGTTTATGCACGGGAACAAGGAAGATGAGTTTAGTTATTTGGGGGGATGTCTTGGTGGTCGGAATCGGTGTGGTGCAATGACCACCAAGCTCACAGAAATCGGCGAATACTTAAAATCTACCCTTAACTCTACGATGATGATGATGTGGATGAAGGCTGCAACAAATGACAAACGACGGCGAATGGACTCGAAGACCTTGGCGGCCTCTCACACACCACGGCGGGTGCTGGCGGTCTTACGCATTGACTGATGGCACCAATCCCGATCTCGGGCGATTGAAAAGCACCGTCCAATGATGTCTCAATGACGAGCTGATGAGACGAGTAGGTACACGGTAGTGATACTCAACCAGAAATACAAACAACTCACTTAAATGCTGGTAATGATGGTGCTTTATTAGAATAATAAAGTAATCAAACGGCTTCGTGTCGCACTGACTCGGCCGGTACAAAATTTTAATATGTGTCGCAATGACAGCACAGGTAATTTATTTAACGGATTACGTATTGCCACAGTGGCAACGAAAACAAACAATTCTGCGTTGCTTCAATAGCAGAAAAAAAAATAAAACAAAAATGTGTAAATTCACGAACCAACAAAAAAATAATTTCTTACACTTAATATATGTACGACGATGTGTATATGTAAAAAAAAAAAAACTTAACGGTAAAAAATTAATAACAACCATAAAGGCGTTGGCCGCGTAATCACAACAAAACATTAAAACAGATGATATAAAAACAAAGACAATATGACGACAACGATAACAATAATAATAAATTAATTTATATAAGTGATTATAATTCACATACTTAACGAATAATGATTAAATGAGGACGAGGAAGAGGGAGAGAGATAAAGACTGGTCGCCGCCGTTGCGCTGTTTTGCATATCGCATGATAATCACAACACTGTGTCGCGGCAACAGTGGTGATAAGCGCCGAAGTCACCACATTACTCCCCCTCGGAAAGGAAAAAACGAACCGTTTTTGAGGCGTTGGTCGGTGAGCTGCGAAGTGACAGCCGAAGATGAATGTTGAATGGGAAGGCGAAAATGAGTGTGGAATGGGCAGGCGAAATGTCGGTGGTCGTCGTGCGTCGATCTGCGGTGGCGGTCGGAGTCGAAAGTTCGCCGTACGAATGTCTACCGGGCTGGTGAATGTTGACGGGAAGGTGACTGACGTTGCCTGTTGATCGGAAGTTGACCGTCGTCGGAACATTGCCTGTTGATCGGAAGTCGATTGTCGTTGTGACGTTGCCTGTTGATCGGAAGTTGACCGTCGTTGGGCGCTGAATGAATTTTGATTGAACTGATGGCCGAAAAGGTTGACTGTTGATTGTAAAAGATGGCCTTAAAATTTTGAATTTATGAGGTCCGAGAGATGAATAAAAAATGAAAAAATAAAAATGGCGTAAGGCCGAAGCTTATGGCTTAATAATGTTTGCCGGTGTGTGCATGGTACACGGCGGTCGGCAGCTTTTAGCGTTTGCGCCGTACAACATATGTTAGTAGCACGTGGTGTTCGTCTTCGTGGCCGGCGGTGACGGTGCGACCGCGGCGATGGGCACCACCAATTTTCTCAGTCGCTCGACCTCAATGGTGAGGTGCGCGACTTGTACGCTCAGCCGATGGACCTGCGCGTTCAAATCCGCGGATTCCCGCGATGCTGGTACGAGAGCGGTCGGATTCAGCCGCTGCCACCAGCTGACCGGTTTTGACGCCGGTGTCACGTGCTCGTCGTTCGTTTTGCCTTCCATGGCGCGTGTTGTAGGACAAGAATTCGAAAGTCGAGCGAAGCGGTGTCTCGTTCGTCGATGTCCGGCACGTGTTCGAAGCTTGGCGATGTCGCTGTGTGTGACGGCCGTCGGGGCGCGTGGTTTCGTGAAACGCGCGGGACGTACTTTCTGTGGCGCTGCCGTCGTGGTGTCGGCGAGCGTCGCAAACTCGCATACCATGGTTGTAAAGATGTCGAACATGTGGTACCAGTGTTGTCGTCGTGTGTGTCGGCGTGCGCGTTAACTTGCGTACCGTTTTCGAATAGAGGTCACCAATGTGGTACAAGTGCATTGCCCTATCGTCGTGGTTGACGCTGCGTCGGTTGGGGCAAAAGCATTGTCCTAACATGCGCTTCGTTTTGCTGCTGACTCCGTTGCAGGAAGGATTAGGTACACAAGTTTAGTTATTTAAATGAAAGAACACACAATGTCGTTGATTGACGCGGTTGCGTCGAAAGTCGTATATTGAAACTTGAACATAAATGTGCGTACGCAGTACGCATAATTATTCGGTGGCCGAGCGGTCGTTGGTCGCGTGGGTCGACGGAATCGGTGTGCTCGATGCACGAGCGATCGAGGGAGCGTGGCGCTACGTCGAGAGACGAGAACGTCGTCGTGACATTAGTTCGGTCGGTCGGGCGAGTCGAGGTGCACGATTATCGTCGAGATCGTATCGCTACTCGAGTCGATTGCCGTTGCGAGAGAAACATGGCGTCGGGCGTATGTCGCGAGTCGGACGAAAACGTGTGGCTCGGTCGAGGGCTGTGAGCAAAGAGAGCGCTGGCCGGTCGGTCGGCCGCGTCGTACCCGTCGCGGGACGAGTCGCTTGGCGTCGCCAATGGGAGACGCGAGATCGAGTTGAGCGAGGAACATAAATATAATTACAAAGACAATAAATACTAAAAATCACAGTTGTTGTATAAATACGACTATAATATAAAAGTTCCGCGAAACGGATGGTAACGGCGAATGAGTTGAGCAAAGTGGTGATAAGCGCCGAAGTCACCACAGTCTGTTAACCTGTTATCAATATTGTTAACTGTTACACTGTT